CACTGCCCCATACACACACTGCACAACAAACACTGCCCCCATACACACACTTCCCCACAAACACTGAACACCCATGCACACACTGCCCCACAATCACTGCCCCCATACACACACTGCACACCCGCACACACACTGCCCCACAAACATTGTCCCACAAACACTGCCCCCGATACACACACACTGCCCCACAAACGCTGCCCCCATACACACACTAAACACACTGCCCCACAAACACTGCCTCCCCATACACACACTGCAACTCTCACACACACTGCCACCCTCACATACACACTGCACCGCTCACACACACACAAACACACACACTGCATCGCTCTCTCACACACACTGCCCCACACATACACCGTCCCCTCAAACACACAGTGCAACCCTGACATACACTGCTGCCCTCACGCACTCGCACACACACTTCACTGCTCACACACACACACCGCACCTTTCACACACACTTCACCCCTAACACATACCACTGCTCCTATGCCTTATATCCCAGCAGACCCCAGGTAAGTTGTCAAACTGTTCTTAAACGGTTTGACTACTTACTCTGTGATGGGATCCTGGCACTACTGGCGCCATGACTACTACACTGAGCTGTAGTGGTTATTGTGCCTGGATTATTTCTTTAAATAAGCTACAAGTGCCCCTCCCGAGATCAGGCTCTGGATTCGCCACTTCTTAGCAGGTCTTAATATCAGTTAAATACAACCTCAGATGAACAACAAGACATAACATATTAAACAGTGACATGATTTATTTAACAAAAATAAAGCCAAAATGTGTGAAAAACTAAGTACGCCTTTTGATTCAATAGCTTATAGAACCACCAGCAATAACTCAAAATAATCGTTTTCTGTATGACTATCAGTCTCTCAAATCATTATGGAAGAATGTTAGAGCTAGAGTTATAGCACTCTGACTGGAATTGAATAGCTTTGGAAACCCTAGGCACACAGGGAGGGAGGGACGCCGACCCCACAATTGTGTAGGGGTTCAATATAATTGTACAGTTTATTATTGGCTCCACCCGACACTAATGCGTATGGGCTGGAGGAACAATAGGTCCCTCCCCAAGTTGTTATTTAGAACCTTTTACCTGCTACCAATGGGTATGGACTGGTGGAGCAATAGGTCCCCACAAGATGTTATTTATAGGTAGGTGCTGGGGAGGACAAAAGGTCTATAAATAGGGTCCTTCCTGAGTTTTTAATTAGAGCCCCCATCTAATGCCAATTGGTTTATTGTATTAGAGCCCCTACTCACCATGGGTGTGGATTGGAGGGGAAACTAGGCCACACCTGTTCATTTTATTTAATAGCCCCAACCTGCTGACTATGGGTGGGGGCAAAAGGGAGAACACTATGTCCCCTCCGCCCCCTGCTTTTTTATTTTATTAATAGCTTGACTGTCAGGGCAAGGGTTAGTCTCTTTTTTGATAGAGGCATGACAGATGTAGGCATGAGGGAGGATTTCAATTCAAGTTGTTTAGTCCCTCCTCACCTGCTGCATTGGGAGCTCTGCTTTTATTTTGAAATAATCAAATTACAAAGAGGGAGTCAGTAGCTCCATCCTTGTAATTAAATGAATAACAGAATGAACAAATTGCATGAGCAACATTTTATCTAACAATCAATTCAGACTGTGTAATATTTCACACCAGGGCATTCATCTTTCAGAATAATAGCAAAATTGCTTAAAATTTGGACAAATACGTATTCATCTGAAAATTACCTAAGTCTACCCTATGAGCTGCCCAGAAAGGAATAGGTACTAACACGTGAAAGAGATCCAAAAACATTTAAATGCTGTGTGATTTCACAGTGTTTATTATAGTTTGTGTACAACGTTTCATTGTGCATTTAAGTGCCAGTTACCTCTATGGATTGCACATACATATAATGAACTTTGAGGGCTAAAGTGTTTAAACACAATAGCAAATACCTGACTCAATGGAGTGAACAAAGACATTTTGTAAGATCTGATTTTCAACCAATCATCACTAATGGAGTGAATCCAGGCAAAGGCCATCACTTACACAATGAAACTGGCAAGTATTTAAAATTTGTATATCATCATAAAGAGTTAAAACACGGTCTATGACGTAAAGCCCACCATAACATTACAACTCTTAAAATCATCAGGATACTTGTTGCAAAATAAGTATAGTTGTTACCTTTAATGCTACATTATATTCCTTATAATATTGATAAAGCATTTATCTGTCCTTTTTTACTGAGTATCTTACTCAGCTGTGTGTACAAAACTTCAAA